TATATATATATATATACACCTTGCTACGTGTACTGTGTTAGGCTAACCGAGACTTGTCATTTGCACTTATGTATTGTTGCTCTTTTGTTAGTTTTGACTGCTTTTATTGTCCTCATTTGTAAGTCGCATTGGATAAAAGCGTCTGCTAAATGACTAAATGTAAATGTAAGCAGAAAAAAAAAACTTTATTATTTATTTTTTGTTCTTTAATTTCCGCATAAAATCATATGTAATGATTTATGGACTTCACTCAAGAGCCGTCATGTGAACTGCTTACAGAAGTCTTTATCTAAATCGATTACTGCCAAAAGAAATCCTGCACAGTTTTCTTCTTAAGGAGCCGTATAGAGACCCTTCAGTCCTATACCTTTCATCCCAAGCCCCCTAAACATGTGCGATTAGCTCAGCTGTCATTGCTTATGTAACAAAATTGCACTGATTCCATGAGCACGTGGATTTTGCTATAAAGAGTCAATGTTTGGACAGTTGTTGCATAAATGTTACAGTTACGAGTCTCATCACAGAGGAAAAAGCTGAAAAGGCCTACCGGATAACCCCCCCATCCCACAATCTGAGGCCTGTGTCCTTGCCTGTCAGCATCGACACGCCTCCAAAAGAATTCCAGCACTTCCTGTGTAAAGTCCTTTAACCCAGAGTACTTATCTCACCAGAATTAAAAACAATCACAGCCATGTTATACTGTCAGCCTGTCATCGACTCTCAATTTAGCTGAACGTTCAAGGGAATAGCAAAAGCTGTCCAATTGACTGTAATATTCTGTAAATGAATACCTAAGGCAAGCATCCCAGATAGTTGGCGGTAATTATTTATTTATTTGAAATAAAAATGTTTATTTAAAAATGTTATTTTTATATTTATATATGTTTTATTTTTTAAATACGGTAATTTTTCTAGTGGTTTTCTAGTGGTTGTTGAGGCCAGAGAGAGTCGTCACAAGTCAAAAGAGTCGTGTAATTTCATTTGATCAAGTGACACTTCAGCCCTCCATTTTGTGACAGCCCAACATTTTAATCAAAAAGAGCAAATTCAAAAAGAAAAAGTAGAAAGACTGAGAAAGGAAGAAAGATAGAGGAGTGGAGTCTCTAAGTGGACACAGAGATCACGTTTCCCACAATGCCTTGAGAAAAGCAACATTAACAGTCATGAAGTCTTGGGCACCTCCATATCCAGTTCCCAAAAAGAGCCGATCGCACCATCGAGCCAAAAGGGCAACCACTGCACCTGTGTGTCTGCAAGAAAGGTGCATTATGGGATATTTGAAGTTATTATTTATCAAACCTGAATAGCTTGAAATCATATTTAACTCAATATTGCAGAAGATTTCTATGTGAATACAAAAAGGTGTCTTTTCTCATTACAGAAGCTGAGTAATATGAAACTGAAAAGTGACAAGTGAGAAGATGACAGGAAGTGTCGTGGGCTGTGCTTTGGTCGGAGCCATGTGACAGGAAGGGCAAATATGTAGACACAAGGTAATGCTCTGTCTGTGTGTGTAAAGGTGTCTGGGCCAGGGCCGCCAGAATTTCACAACAAAACTGGTGGGGTTCTCCTGGTAAAATTCACATTGCAGGGGCTAAATATCATGTTATCGGGGTCGCAACAACCCACAGCAACAGTGTTAAAGTAGCCAAGTTCGGATCTGGTAATACTGGTCTGGGCCTCCATTGCATGACATATTGCATGGGAGAAGTAGAGCTGTTCGGCCAGATTTGCATGTCATGTGACATCCTGTCAACAAACCAATAGACAGGAAGAGATCTCTTAGCTCAGTGCAAATCATAGGTCATCTCATTACATCCTAATTCCTTATATCGCAGTATCTGAGCTGTGAGAAATCCCTACTAATATTGACAAAAAGTAGTGCTGTCAAATGATTAATCGCGATTAATCGCATCCAAAATAAAAGTTTCTGTTTACATAATATATGTGTGTGTACTGTGTATATTTATTATGTATATATAAACACACACACATACAGCATATATTTTGAAAATATTTACATGTATTTATATTCATATAAATTATATAATCTATAAATATATAAATGTAACATATTTTTCTTAAAAATATACATGCATGTGTGCGTATTTATATATACATAATAAATATACACAGTACACATACTTATATTATGTAAACAAAAACTTTTATTTTGGATGCGATTAATCGCGATTAATCATTTGACAGCACTAATAAAAAGTGTTTAGGAGGCTAAATTTAAATGCGAGAAAAAGGAAAACTATTATTATAATATTTATTATCTAAAAGGTTTTTCAATATTAGTGTGTTTTTCAGTGCTTAGTGTTTCAAAGCATATCATTCTAATGATGTTTTAAAAGATACATATATTTATTAATATGAATATACATAAAAATATATATATATGCAACAATTCCCAAGAGGGTGATTTTTTTTCTTCCGTTAATTACCAGCTGACTGCAATGTAAAAATAAATGGACATTAAAAATTAATTTGAGTTGACATTATTTTATTATAAGAGAAGAGAGTATTTCAGAGAGATGTATAAATATACATGGATTTATAATTAATCAATAATATAATGAATAAATTAATATAACAATAATAATAATATTTGTTATTTTAATGATATTTATAATATTTATTTAGTTGCTAGTTTTTTTATTCTCACACAGATTTTAAATGTTGTGTGTATAGTAAA